ATGGGGAATCATAATCATACAAAGGTGAAAATAAATATAAAGCATTAAATATGGGAAATCATAACCATATAAAGACGGAAATAAATATAACTGTTGGATCAACATAATCGATCTAACAGTGAAATTGATTGGTAGTAACATTGGTAGTAACACTAATTGGTTGTTACAATATCCTTCCCCATATATATATATATATGGGGAGGGTTCTTTTGACTCTAGAAAAGTCTTACTCCCCATCTCAGCCGTTGATGGTCGAAAATCAACGGTTGTCATTTATAGCGTAATTAATAATTAATTAATTAATATAACTTCCTAAACTATAACCGTTGGATGGACGGAAATCAACGGCTAGGATAGGGAGTAAGACTTATAAGTCTTACTCTGGAGTCAAATGATTTCTCTCCTATATATATGTATATATATATATATATATATATATACGATTTTATAAGAGTTATGTTGTAGGAAAAGTGATTGTGTAATGTTATAGAGATTTGTTTTGCGTGCCTTAGTTTTTTTTTTTTCAAAAAGTGTGGGCCCCACAAAATGTTGTGTGTGTAGGAAATTTTTTCGTGTCATGTTAAATGACAAATGCAAACCCCATATATATATATTTATATATATGGTAAAATCATTTCTGCAGTCGCTTTACGTACAACAATGACAGGTGTATGATTATCATTCCTCACATTTAATGCTTTCATCCTTTGTATGGTTTTGATTCCCCGCATTTAATGCTTTCAAGTATATATGTGGCAAGTATTTGATTGGTGCACATACAGCAGCTGCAGAAATGCAAACCCCATATAGGGGTGTGCAAAAAAACTGGTTCACTTGCCCTGCCCTTGCTCTGACCTTGACCTGACCCATAAATACCTATTTTTTTTAACTGGTTTAAATACTGACCCACTTTTATTTGGATCAGTTTTAGATCTGACTTGTTTTAATAATGACCTATTGACCCAAAACTTGACCGATACCTATTACGTGAAAAAAAAATCACAATTACATTAAAAGAAAAGTTTTAACGTAAAATCATTACGTCAAAAATTTTTACAGAAATTATTTCCATCAAAATTTTTGACGAAAAATATTTTCATCAAAATTTGTGACTAAAAACATTTTAGTAAAAAAATTTGACGGAAAAAATTTTTTGTCAAATTTTTTTATGGAATCTAAATTTCGTCAAAATATTTCACAAAAAAACATATTCATCAAAAATTTCGACGAAACACATTTTTATAGAAATTTTTTGAAGGAAAACAATTTCATCAAAATTCTTTACAGAATTCAAATTTCGGTGAAAGTTTTCGACGAAAATATTTTCGTTAAACTTTTTGACCAAAAAAAATTTTCGTCAAAATTTTTAGCGAAACACATTTTCATCGAAAATTTTCAACAAAATAATTTCGTCAAGTTTTTTGATAAAAAATATTTCGATCAAAATTTTCAACGGAACACATTTCTGTCAAAATTTTTGGTAAAATTTTTTGACAAAAAGTATTTCGATAAATAATTTTGTCGGAAAAAATATTCTGTCAAAATATATTTAGAGAATCTAAATTTCGTCGAAAGTTTCGAAAGAAACATTTCCCTCAAAACAATTTCCATCGAAATTTTTGTCAGAACACTTCCCATCGAAATTTTGAACGAAAAACATTTCGTTAAAATTTTTGACTGAATTCTTTTTTCGTTTAAAACTTTTGATGGAGGAAATCATTTTCGTCAAAACTTTTGACGGAAACTAAATTTCGATAGAAAATTTATTTTTGTAAAAAATTTTATTAGAGAAAAATTTTTGTCGCTTTTCGACAAAAAATATTCCGACGAAAAAATAATTGTGACGAAATTTTTGTCGTTTGCAACGTAAAAATTTCAACGAAATTTTGTGACGAAACCAAGTCAAAAATGGGTCAGGTCAGATTTGACCCACTTTAGAAACCAAGTCAGACCCACATCAGAAACCAAGTCAGGTCAGATCCGACCCGGTTCTGAACTTGTTCAAAAAAATCCAAACCAAGTCAGACCTGATTTTGATCAAATTAAAGCGGGTCGGGTCAAATTACCTGACCTACAAAAATCAAGTTGGGTCGAGTCGGCACAAAAACCTGACTCGACCTGACCCATGCACAGCCCTAACCCCATATAATAAAAAAATATTTCTACAACCACTTTAGATAAGGTTATCTACATCTATCCAAAAACTACATCGTTTAAATTAATGAAGGTTGTTTCTATAATTTTAGGTGAATTAATGAAGAGTGTTTCAGTAAAATTCATATGATAAATAAATAAAGAAAATTATGGAAACACCCTTCATTAATTCACCTAAAATTATAGAAACACCTTTCATTAATATAAATGACGTAATTTTTGGAGTAGCTGTAGATAACCTTATCTAAAGTGGCTGTAGAAATATTTACCTTATATATATGTATATACATATATATGTATATACATATATATGTATATATGTATATATATACATATATATATATACACATATATACATATATACATATACATATATATATATATATATATATATATATATATATATATATATATAGATATACATACATATATATATGCATGCATATATATATGCATGCATAGATATACATACATATATATATGCATGCATATATATATATATATGTATGTATATCTATATATCTATATATGTACATATATATGTATATATACATATATATATATACATATATATGGTTATGTTTATCTCATTTTACATGAGATAAATAACGTTCATACACACACAAAAAAGGATTGGGTCTCACTTTTTTTTCTCTCTTCTTATATGTGGATCTCACTTATAATTTTATTTTTATAACATTAGGTAACTTTTTTCCTACAACATAAGAAAAGTATTTTCATATATATATAGGGTTTGTTTTTTCTAAAGTTACTTTATATAACTTTATTTAATGTTCATTGAAACGACGTCGTTTTGGGGCATAAATTATGGTATTTTTGTATTTTTAATTTATTTCAGGGTTATAATAGTCTTTGTCATTCTAATTTTTTAATTTTTCAACTTCAAAACAACGTCGTTTCGAAGAACATTAGACAAATTTATCTAAAGTAACATTAGATACTTTTTTCCCATATATATATCGAGAGAATGAAAGTTGAAACTATCTCGATTCAATAAATTATTTATTAAAGTGCTTTAAATTAAGGAAACGAAGGCGAAATGAAAAGTACTTACGGCAAAAAAATTAATTTATTGCAAATTAAATATTTTTATTACAAATTTATTTTTATTTTCAGATTATTTATGAGTGTATTGCAGGATGTCATGCCTGATAAATGTATAAATGTATGATCGTTTTTTATTGTCCAATTAAACTGCAACGTAATATGAACGTATGATACTAGCTAAAATAAGTACATGACATATCTCAAACAATAACATTTCGATAATTTACATTTTAACATGAAAACAATAAAAAATATAATTATAAATGTAAATATTAAATAATAAATTCATCAAAGAATAATTATTTGTCACTTCACTTGATATATTTTTTAAACTTGATATGTATTTTAATAATAATTACGTCTTACCTTTTGTCAAAAAGAAAACTATAGGCATGAGGAATAGACGAACTTCACTTACCATGATAAATAGACCAAAAGAAAGGAAAGGCATGAAGGAAATACTCTCAGGCCTCTTTGGTGTGATGTATAAGGCCCGATAATATAAGCTTATACTATATGTTATGACTTTTTTAGTTGTTTGGTGTGACGATTGTATAGTATAAACTTATATAGCTGGATTCCTTTATACATCAAAATGATGTATAACTTAATTAGGTCTAAGAAGGTAGGATTAGGCCTGATAAGGGGTTGATGTATTAACTAATGCAATTCTCAAGAATTAATATATTATTTTAATATTAGTATATTAAAATAAAAAATAATTTTTCAATATATAGTTTTCTAAAATATTGGAGATTTTTATTTTTATAAAAATTAATATATTTTTGGACACACTGATCAACATATTTCTATAAAAAATAATATTATCTAATATATTTGTAAGAATTATATAAATTCATTATTAAAAGGTATTTTTGACAAAAATATTTAATTTTAACCTATCTAGTATTAGAATGTATTATCAAACATTAGATGATATTATCTTATACAATATATTATTTTATATAATATCATGTCAAACGCTAGATAGTATTAAAATTTAAACAGGTCTTATACAATCGGGTCTTAAACTATCGGGTCTTAAACTATCAGGTCTTATCATATACTATGTATCAAACATGCCCTCATTGTGCATTCATTCATCAAACATCTCTTTGCAATTTCCATACTAACAAGGTCACGCCTCTTACATGAGTGACTCATGATTGCGTTACGCCTTTTTGAGGCGTAGTTGGTGTGACGTCTTTTTTAGACGTGTTCTTATAGGGTATGATGCCTCTGACGTCTTTTTTAGACGTGTTCTTATAAGGTATGATGCCTACATTGGACGTGACATCCTGCAATACACTCGTAAAAAATTTGAAAACATCAATAAATTTATAATTTTTATTTAATTTGCAATAAATTAATTTTTTTGCTAAGTCTCAACTTCTCAATATTCATTGAAAATTCACCAATGAACGGCACGTGATCATCTTACAGATTAAGGGCTTTATTGTAAAATCACATTATAAGGGCTCGTTTGGATGAGTTTTTTTTCCTTCAAAAGTTACTTTTTTTCAAGAAAAAAAGCACTTCTTGTTTTTAGTTCATTTGGATGTCTGATTTTAAAAAAAGAAGTCACAAAAAAATTAAAAATCTACTTTTTTTCATAAGCTAAAATTTATAACTTCCAAAAAAAATAGAAGTTAAAAATTAAATATTTTTTTCAAAAATCAAATATTTTCAAGAAGGGTAACCAAACGGGCTCTAAGTCCCGATGTCCTTGACATCTGTTTCCCAATCAGTATCGGTGTGTCTCACTATCACAAGTTGTTGAGTGTTGTTTTGACTCTCCAACTGAAAACTCCATCCACTGATTGGTTGGTCACTTTGCGATGGGCAAAAAGGTAAAATGGAGCTGGAGCTCGGCGCTAATCGGAGCAGCAACGGCGGTGGCAGCGACGGCGGCGATATCCGCAAAACCCAAGGACCCAACCTTCCACCTCATATCCATCAAGTTCACCGCCCTTAAGCTCAACCTTCCACTCCTTGACGCCGAGCTACTCCTCACCGTCCACGTCACGAACCCTAACATCGCCCCTATCCACTACTCCTCCACCACCATGTCCATCTTCTACCAAGGCTCTCTCCTCGGCTCAGCTCAGGTCGAAGCCGGTTCTCAGCCACCACGCTCCTGCCAGCTTCTCCGCCTTCCCGCCCGCCTCCACGGCCTCGAGCTCGCTCACCACGCAACTAGCTTCGTCGCCGACTTCGCTAGGCGCGAGATGGTGCTCGACGCCGCCGTCGACATCGCTGGCACCGCCAGGGTTCTCTGGTGGGACCATAAGTTTAAGGTCCACGTGGATAGCCGCGTCACCGTTGATCCTGTCTTTCTTGATGTCATTGATCAGGAAAATAACTCCGAACTTGAAGTCTTCACCGCGGCATAGCCAAAGTATGAGTATTTGAGATGTAAAATTGTAAGCATTGGAATTATTTATTTCTTCCGAATATTATTCTGTTCCATTACTTGAGAGATTCGTTTTGTTTTTTAAGTTTTATAAATCTAAAATTAAGCATTTTTAGGAGATGCTAATTGAAAATGAAACGCCCTATATCCGGATATCATATCCGGATATCCAATATCCAATATCCGGATATTCCACGGGCAGATATCCGAATATTCCACGGGCAAATATCTGGATATTTCACGACAGAATGCAGAAATTGCATTTCGTGAAGATATCCTTCAAGGTTCCATTTTTATCACTATCAAGCGTTAAAGCATGCATATTTATACTGTTTAAGGGTCATACCACTGTTGGTTACTTGTTTAACTCTTTAAACATGCAAAGACACCTCTTTTATTCAACAAAACACATGATCAAGATTGGTACAACTCACTAAAGTCTAAAACAGAGACAAAGGGATGCTCTTGGAGCTCACAACCAGCTCCCAAGGTACTGACTTGTACAAGAACGAAAATGACTTCACAAAGGTTGGTTCTTTCTCACCAAAGGTCACCACTTGGACCTCAAAGTGCCATAACTAAGGCTCACAACACTCAACTCACAAACTCAGAACCTCTCCACCTCACTCACAGTGACAAGAACTCAGAAAAGCCCCCACACTTCCTCACCAAGCAAGCTCTCACAAGCCCCAAGGTATTTGGAGAAGAAATCAAGGAGAAAGGAAGCTCCTTGGCTCACCACAATGGAGGAGAAGGTGGCAAAGGGTGGCTAGAGGTGTTTCACAACATGGAGGCATGTAGGAAATCTGGTCTAGGGTTTTGTGCCCAATGATTAGAGTATATATAGCCACTTTCAATTAAATCACACAGTATTAACTTTAATTGCTATGCTTAGCATTTTAATCCCAAACTTTGGATTCTTAACCTACTCAATTTTACAAGAATTATCATATTTTTCTTATAATTTTCGGAGCACCTTTTCGGTACGCGCTTTTCATAGCCAGTATCAGATTCTGGCACCAGTTCTCATTATTTGGACTTGAAACTCGTTTTACAAGTCCTACATATTATTCTAGTAATTATCATGAACTTACTTTAATTTTCTGGGATACTTTTTCGATACACATTTATACCGACTAGCAGAACCGGTACCTGCACTTTTCTTCCGAAAAGCGGCTTTCAACATTCTTAATCACTTACTATAATTATTAAAGCCTCATAATAATTATTAGGGTCAATTATGGAATCATTTCCTATTTTCTCATAATTTATTGATTAAAGTTCCTTAATTAACGGTGCAGGTTCTTACATTTTCGTCCTTTGCATGGAACGGTTAAGCCATCAAATTTGTGAGGCTACTTCAAAAAAGTATTGGAAGCCTATTGTCCTTAGGAAGAACAGTCCGCCAATCAGCCACTTATTCTTCGCGGATGATCTCTTACTGTTTACGAAAGCTTCTTTGGAACAGGCGGTTCTTATTAAAAAAATTATGTCCTGTTTTTGTGACTCCTCTGGGCAGACAGTATATGTTGACAAGTCTAGGGTGCTTTTCTCTAGAAATGTGCACAATTTGAGAGCCGAGGAGATTGCTCAAGCCATGGGATTCTCCACAACTCCGGATTTGGGGAAGTACTTGGGTATTCCTCTAATGCATGAGAGGGTGAGAACCACAACTTTTAACTTCATCCTACAGAGAATGGAAAACAAGTTGTCGGTTTGGAATATGAAGACCCTCTCCCTAGCGGGTCGAGCAACCCTCTCCCAGTCTGTTCTGTCATCCATACCGGTTTACCCTATGCAATCGTGTCTTCTTCCGTTGAAAACTTGCGATGACATTGAGAGGAAAATCCGCAATTTCCTTTGGGGTGTCTCTGCTGATAAGAAAGCTTTGATGTTGTTTCCTGGGATAGAATTTGTCATCCTAAAGACAACGGAGGTCTAGGTTTTCGAAACTTGAGACTGATGAATCAGGCTCTCCTCATGAAAGTGGGCCACAGAATGTTAACCCAGACGAAGAGTTTATGGGTAAGGGTGTTACGAAATAAGTACAAGGTTGGAGAAGATTTAATCCCGGAGTTACAAAGAACAAAACAAGGCTCAAACTTTGTGGAGGGGTATCCAGAAGGTGTGGCCTAAGGTGAAGCTTGGTTCGATTATCCAGGTTGGAAATGGGGAGAGGAACAGATTTTGGGAGGATAGATGGATCCTAGGAAATGAGTTGGTGAAGGCCAAAGATTCAGTTATCATTACTGGAGAAGTGGAGAATTGGACAGTGGGCGACTGTGTTGAAGAAGATGGAATGTGGAATTGGAACTCTCTGGAACAATATGTCTCCCCACAGTCTCCGAGTTGTTTGGCTAGTATTTTTCCCCCTTCTCCTTCCAATGGTAATGACCGAGTTACTTGGGCAGGTTCGAGTAATGGAGCTTTCTCGGTTAAATCGGCCTTCTTCATGCTCGATGGTGATCCCTTATTGCAGACTAATCATGCCGACCTGATCCCTTGGAAATGGAAAGGTCCGAATAGAATCCAGATGTTTATTTGGAAAGCGCTTGGGAATCATCTGATGACAAACCTCAATAGGGAAAAGAGGAAGTTAACAACATGCAATCTTTGTACTAGATGTGCATGCCATCCAGAGGACATTCTCCATGTGCTTCGAGACTGCTCATGGCCCAGAAATATTTGGATTCGCCTTCTCCCCACCGAGCATCTGCCTCATTTTTTTGATCTTCAACTTCGCCAATGGCTGCAGTTTAATCTTGAATCGCCTCCATATACTTTTGGCTATCAACATTGGCATCTCCTCTTTGGTGTTGTTTGCTGGCTGACCTGGAAATATAGAAATGACTTCATATTCAACAACAAAGAAGCAACTCAGGAATCCTTGATTAGGCAAGCTAATATTTACACCTCAAATTTCCTTGCTGCTCGTCAAAGGCTCGACTTCCAAGGTGTACATAAAAGGGTAACAGAGGAGCGATTCATCAAGTGGAACCCTGCTGCAGACTGGGTGAAACTGAATACAGATGGATCGAGTAGCTTGGGAGGCCAGTTATCTAGCTGTGGAGGAGTTCTCCGGGATGATGCAGGGAGCTGGCTGGGGGGATTCTGCAAGAAGCTGGGAGCAGGCTCGTCCTTGAGAGCGGAGGTCTGGGGTATCTACAGGGGATGCTCGTGGCTTGGGAGCTAGGCTACAAGAAGGTGTGCGAGGAGTCTGATTCAAAAGTGGCTATTCTCCTCATACAGGATTCTTGCGCTACTTGTCATTCATTAGCCCCCTTGGTTAATCATATCAGAAGCCTATTAAGTAGGAATTGGGAGATTATCTTTAACCATACTTTTCGCGAAGGAAATTCAGTTGCTGATGCCATGGCTCGAATGGGAAGTCAGTTAGACTCTTGGGATGTGCAGATGCATGTAGAAATTCCTAGGGAATGTAGAGATCTCTTAAATAGAGACTTGCAGGGTGCAACTTGCCCAAGACTTTGTAACCTGTTTTAGTTTTTATGATATTTCCCTGATTTAAAAAAAAAAGCGCCAGACAACAACTGCAAATGCAAAATTAGTATGGAAATTGCATTCTGTCACCTAGAAAATGCTTCAAAAAAGACATCTGCAGTTTGAGCATAAGTCTCAAGCAAACAAAAATTTAGGGGCATGTATTTGCTAACATAATCATACATTCTGATATGTAGTGCAATGCAAAAATTAAAAAGGGTTCCACGTTCAGAATACTGATATAGAAATTCATTTGAAGGAGGGTTATTGTTAAGCACTTTATAGATTTACAGCAGAAGGAGAGATAAGAGAGTAGAGGAAAGGAAGAAGAGGGCAAAGAAGAGTAGGAGAAGGAGAAGATTTATGAAGGAAACTGAACTTGCTTGCACTATGGTGAAGTCTCACTTTCTCGCTACATAGGTTAGAAAATGGTATTATGGTCAGATTTTTCGTTGCCTTTTATCCATTTAGCAGTCTAACTCACAATACCACATTTGAAGTGGTTTTATTGAACAATGATTTTCTTTCCATTTTACACACAAGTCAAAGTCTAAGGAAATGTGTTTTCTACCAAAATTTTGTAATATTTTGAACCAAACGTGGACAACAAAGAATACCTATCTATGATGCCTAGGTATCTCCTAAAAACCACCAGAAGGTGATATTTTTGGATTACTAGCAAAATGCAAAAAGAAGTTTACCTTTAATCCAATTTTTTTGGTAATATTTTGACCTACCAAACAACTTTTTTTTAACTTTTCTAGAAAATTCATTTGCCCACCATTTTCCAATAATTGTATTTCTATGGTAAAAACAATTTTTCTCTACCAAACGCTCATTTAGGAGGAACGAGGATGGACATTGTATTGGACACAATATGTATATTATATATGAGACACGTTATTCTACCTACTTATTTTTCTGCCAGTTTTTGCTTATTATTTTCCAATACTCTTGAAGATTGATAGGCAAAAATAGGTAGAATAATATATCTCATTATATATCTCTACTTTTATATTGCGACCCCTTAATATTCTTTTATGTATAATTTATTCAAATGTTCATTATTTTACATCTTTCAAATATAATTTAACATGTAGAGGGTTATATTTACAAATTTTGTATTTATAAACTCTTACAACTTACATTATGTATTCTCTACACTAAATTATATTAGGGTTCGTTTTTTGTGCAGTTACTGCAGATAAGTTATCTGCAGTAAGTCCAATACGACGTCGTTTTGGAACGGAAATCATGATATTTTGTAATCTTAATTTATTTTAGAGTTATAATAGTCTTTATATTTATAATTTTTTAAGATTTCAATATCAAAATGACGTCGTTTTGGGAATAAATACAGATAACTTATCTGCATTAACTGCAGAAACAATTTTCCCATTATATTATGTACTTCCGAGAATACATAATGTAATTTGTAAAAATTTGTAAAAAAAATTATAAACAGATGTTTTCTCATTTAACATTGTTCACACACAAACTCTGGTTTCTAACATGTACGCCTTTATACCGCCGGG